TACATTGATGTCATTTCTGTATTTAAAAAATGTAATTTTTGAAAAGGTAAATTTATATAGTTGAGATGCTGTGTAGATAGTTTACTAGGTTATTTTTTTCTCCCAGTTAATATACATCACAAGCATATTTTCTGTCAGTACGTATTTTGGAACCATTTGATGACTGTATATTTTCCCACTGTGTGGATGTAGCATAATTTGTGGAATCCCCATCTCTAAGTTTTTCTGTACTCATGACTAAAATTGTGTTGTATTTAAAATCTTTCTCCATGCTTCTTGTGTTTCTAGAATTGATTCTTAGAATAAAGTTACAGGATCAAATAACATAACCTTTTTTGATGATTATTTAAAAGTAAGGTATCATTCAGGTATACTTTACATATAATGTAATATAATTCACTTTTTAGTGTTAAGCTTTGAATTTTGGCAAAGCCAGTGAGGATATACGACAATCTACTCCCCAAATTCTCTTAGACCCACTTGTAGTCATTGACTTCCCCACCTTTAAGCCTGACGGCTTCTGATCTGTTTTTGTCTGTCTCATGTTCCCTTTCTAGACTGTCATTAGATGGAATCATGCAGTCAGCAGTTTCTGTCCTCTGGCCCCAAAGATAGGCTCCCGTCCCACACGCACACCACATTCACCCCATCCCAAGGCGCCCCAAAGTCTCAGCGCATTGCAGGATCAACTCAGCGCCCCAAATCCTTTCTTCAGCTTAAAAGTTCTAGTTCCCATCATCTAAACCAGGTGTGAGTGAGGCTCCGGGTCTGTCGTCTGTCCTGTCGGCATGATTCCTGTCCACCTGTGAACCTGTGAACTCAGGAAAGAAGCCGTGTGCTGTGCAGGGCGGTGCAGGGCCAGGCTGGGAGCCAGGCGCGGACACCGTCCAGGAGTGGGCGTGGGAGGACAGACGTCGCCAGGCCCGAACAATTTTATCCTCTTAGCAGAGCAAAGGTTTTAATTTTGGTGAACTCCAGTTTATCAGTTTTCTTTTTAAAAAAACCACGCTTTTAGTGTTATATCGAAAAACATCTTTGCTTAATCCAAAATAGTCTGTTTTCTTCTGGAAGTGTGTGCTTTTGATAGGACCTTTAGGTCAGCTTTGTGTTAGTGTGTGTATTTGGTGCACAGTATGAATGATCTGAGGTTTGTTTATTTATTTGCATTTGAATGTCCAGTTGAATAAAACCAAGTTCCTACACTTTGGGACTGACATTCTGGTTGTGGTGGGTGGGCAGTAAGCGCACACGTGCTGTATCTGTGATGGTGGTAGGTGCCACGGAGAACAGAGAGTGGACGGGGGGGGGGGGCGGGGGCCG